AATGACACTCCCCACCCACTATAGATAAGTCCCATATACAACAGTGACACTCCCCACCCACTATAGATGAGTCCCATATACAACAGTGACACTCCCCACCCACTATAGAGGAGTCCCATATACAACTGTGAGACTCCCTAACCACTATAGATGAGTCCCATATACAACAATGACACTCTCCACCCACTATAGAGGAGTCCCATATATAACAGTGAGACTCCCCACCCACTTTAGATGAGTCCCTTATACAACAGTGAGACTCCCCACCCACTATAGAGGAGTCCCATATACAACAGTGACACTCCCCACCCACTATGGATGAGTTCCATATACAACAGTGACACTCCCCACCCACTATAGAGGAGTCCCATATACAACAGTGACACTCCCCACCCACTTTAGAGGAGTCCCATATACAACAGTGACACTCCCCACCCACTATAGATGAGTCCCATATACAACAGTGACACTCTCCACCCACTATAGATGAGTCCCATATACAACAGTGACACTCTCCACTCACTATAGATGAGTCCCATATACAACAGTGAGATTTCCTACCCACTATAGCTGAGTCCCATATACAACAGTGAGACTCCCCACCCACTATAGAGGAGTCCCATATACAACAGTGAGACTCCCCACCCACTATAGCTGAGTCCCCATATACAAAAGTGACACTCCCCACTCACTATAGATGAGTCCCATATATAACAGTGACACTCCCCACCCACTATAGAGGAGTCCCATATACAACAGTGAAACTCCCCACCCACTATAGAGGAGTCCCATATATAACAGTGACACTCCCCACCCACTATAGATGAGTCTCCATATACAACAGTGACACTCCCCACCCACTATAGATGAGTCCCATATATAACACTGACACTCTCCACCCACTATAGATGAGTCCCATATACAACAGTGAGATTTCCTACCCACTATAGATGAGTCCCTTATACAACAGTGAGACTCCCCACCCACCATAGATGAGTCCCATATACAACAGTGAGACTCCCCACCAACTATAGATGAGTCCCATATACAACAGTGAGACTCCCCACCCACTATAGATGAGTCCCATATACAACAGTGAGATTTCCTACCCACTATAGATGAGTCCCATATACAACAATGACACTCCCCACCCACTATAGATAAGTCCCATATACAACAGTGACACTCCCCACCCACTATAGATGAGTCCCATATACAACAGTGACACTCCCCACCCACTATAGAGGAGTCCCATATACAACTGTGAGACTCCCTAACCACTATAGATGAGTCCCATATACAACAATGACACTCTCCACCCACTATAGAGGAGTCCCATATATAACAGTGAGACTCCCCACCCACTTTAGATGAGTCCCTTATACAACAGTGAGACTCCCCACCCACTATAGAGGAGTCCCATATACAACAGTGACACTCCCCACCCACTATGGATGAGTTCCATATACAACAGTGACACTCCCCACCCACTATAGAGGAGTCCCTTATACAACAGTGAGACTCCCCACCCACTATAGATGAGTCACATATACAACAGTGACACTCTCCACCCACTATAGATGAGTCCCATATTTAACAGTGAGACTCCCCACCCACTATAGAGGTGTCCCATATACAACAGTGAGATTTCCTACCCAATATAGTGGAGTCCCATATACAACAGTGACACTCCCCACCCACTATAGAGGAGTCCCATATACTACAGTGAGACTCCCCACCCACTATAGATGAGTCTCCATATAGAACAGTGAGACTCCCCACCCACTATAGAGGGGTCCCATATACAACAGTGACACTCCCCACCCACTATAGAGGAGTCCCATATACAACAGTGAGACTCCCCACCCACTATAGAGGAGTACCATATACAACAGTGACACTCCCCACCCACTATAGAGGAGTCCCATATACAACGGTGACACTCCCCACCCACTATAGAGGAGTCCCATATACAACAGTGAGACTCCCCACCCACTATAGATGAGTCCCATATATAACAGTGACACTCCCCACCCACTATAGATGAGTCCCATATACAAGTGAGACTCCCTACCCACTATAGATGAGTCCCATATACAACAATGACACTCTCCACCCACTATAGTGGAGTCCCATATACAACGGTGACACTCCCCACCCACTATAGAGGAGTCCCATATACAACAGTGAGACTCCCCACCCACTATAGATGAGTCCCATATATAACAGTGACACTCCCCACCCACTATAGATGAGTCCCATATACAAGTGAGACTCCCTACCCACTATAGATGAGTCCCATATACAACAATGACACTCTCCACCCACTATAGTGGAGTCCCATATACAACAGTGACACTCCTCACCCACTATAGATGAGTCCCATATACAACAGTGACACTCCCCACCCACTATAGATGAGTCCCATATACAACAGTGACACTCCCCACCCACTATAGATGAGTCCCATATACAACAGTGACACTCCCCACCCACTATAGATGAGTCCCTTATACAACAGTGAGACTCCCCACCCACTATAGATGAATCCCATATACAACAGTGAGACTCCCCACCCACTATAGATGAATCCCATATCCAACAGTGACACTCCCCACCCACTATAGATGAATCCCATATACAACAGTGACACTCCCCACCCACTATAGATGAATCCCATATACAACAGTGAGACTCCCCACCCACTATAGATGAGTCCCATATACAACAGTGACACTCCCCACCCACTATAGATGAATCCCATATCCAACAGTGACACTACCCACCCACTATAGACGAGTCCATATACAACAGTGACACTCTCCACCCACTATAGATGAGTTCCATATACAACAGTGACACTCCCCACCCACTATGGATGAGTTCCATATACAACAGTGACACTCCCCACCCACTATAGAGGAGTCCCATATACAACAGTGAGACTCCCCACCCACTATAGATGAGTCTCCATATACAACAGTGAGACTCCCCACCCACTATAGAGGAGTCCCATATACAACAGTGAGACTCCCCACCCACTATAGATGAGTCTCCATATACAACAGTGACACTCCCCACCCACTATAGATGAGTCCATATACAACAGTGACACTCTCCACCCACTATAGATGAGTCCCATATACAACAGTGACACTCCCCACCCACTATAGATAAGTCCCATATACAACAGTGACACTCCCCACCCACTATAGATGAGTCTCCATATACAACAGTGAGACTCCCCACCCACTATAGATGAGTCCCATATACAACAGTGACACTCCCCACCCACTATAGAGGAGTCCCATATATAACAGTGAGACTCCCCACCCACTATAGATGAGTCCCATATACAAGTGAGACTCCCTACCCACTATAGATGAGTCCCATATACAACAATGACAATCTCCACCCACTATAGAGGAGTCCCATATACAACAGTGAGACTCCCCACCCACTATAGATGAGTCCCATATAGAACAGTGACACTCCCCACCCACTATAGATGAGTCCCATATAGAACAGTGACACTCCCCACCCACTATAGATGAGTCCCATATACAACAGTGACACTCCCCACCCACTATAGATGAGTCACACATACAACAGTGAGACTCCCCACCCACTTTAGATGAGTCCCATATACAACAGTGACACTCCCCACCCACTATAGAGGAGTCCCATATACAACAGTGACACTCCCCACCCACTATAGATGAGTCTCCATATACAACAGTGACACTCCCCACCCACTATAGATGAGTCTCCATATACAACAGTGACACTCCCCACCCACTATGGATGAGTTCCATATACAACAGTGACACTCCCCACCCACTATAGAGGAGTCCCTTATACAACAGTGACACTCCCCACCCACTATAGATGAGTCCCATATACAACAGTGACACTCCCCACCCACTATAGAGGAGTCCCATATATAACAGTGAGACTCCCCACCCACTATAGATGAGTCCCATATATAAGTGAGACTCCCTACCCACTATAGATGAGTCCCATATACAACAATGACACTCTCCACCCACTATAGAGGAGTCCCATATACAACATTGAGACTCCCCACCCACTATAGATGAGTCCCATATAGAACAGTGACACTCCCCACCCACTATAGATGAGTCCCATATAGAACAGTGACACTCCCCACCCACTATAGATGAGTCCCATATACAACAGTGACACTCCCCACCCACTATAGATGAGTCACATATATAACAGTGAGACTCCCCACCCACTATAGATGAGTCCCATATACAACAGTGACACTCCCCACCCACTATAGAGGAGTCCCATATACAACAGTGACACTCCCCACCCACTATAGATGAGTCTCCATATACAACAGTGACACTCCCCACCCACTATAGATGAGTCTCCATATACAACAGTGAGACTCCCCACCCACTATAGAGGAGTTCCATATACAACAGTGACACTCCCCACCCACTATAGATGTGTCCCATATACAACAGTGAGACTCCCCACCCACTATAGAGGAGTCCCATATACAACAGTGACACTCCCCACCCACTATAGATGAGTCTCCATATACAACAGTGAGACTCTCCACCCACTATAGATGAGTCCCATATACAACAGTGACACTCCCCACCCACTATAGAGGAGTCCCATATACAACAGTGACACTCCCCACCCACTATAGATGAGTCTCCATATACAACAGTGACACTCCCCACCCACTATAGATGAGTCGCATATACAACAGTGAGACTCTCCACCCACTATAGATGAGTCCCATATACAACAGTGAGACTCCCCACCCACTATAGAGGAGTCCCATATACAACAGTGAGACTCCCCACCCACTATAGAGGAGTCCCATATACAACAGTGAGACTCCCCACCCACTATAGATGAGTCTCCATATACAACAGTGACACTCCCCACCCCACCATAGAGGAGGGCTGCTCCATGACAAACAAATCTCCACAAACTCTTTTTTTTTATTGTCACAGATTTGCCAAGATCACAACCTGACGTGGGCCTGGGAGCTGGAGACTCTGGGCTACCCCAAGCTCAACCCCAGCTACAAGCTCGTCATCCTCAAGGTGCCCGGATCCACCCGTCGCCTATCTTCCCATCACATTGAACGCCCCGCTCGCTCACTCGCTCGCTCGCTCGCCCATTGGCGAGATGTTGACTACCGCGCCTGGTGTGCGGGAGGTCGCGGGTTCCATCGCGAGCCTGACGCCTCGTTGCGTATTCAGAGTTTTTCTTTTCTCTCTTCCCGCGGTCGCGTGTTTGCCCACACAGCGGTAATTATATCACCCCTTGCCGGCACGCTAATGCGCAGGGACACCTGCCACCGGGGGTGCCCCTAGTCTAGGCCACACAGCAGCAGCAGCGATCATCGCCCCCTGCCGACAGACCCACGCCCCCAGGTCACTGCTTGCAAATGGGACTCCTCTCAAGGTCCACTTGATTTCTCACCAGGCCACACGTTGATCATCCTGACGCTTGAGCTCACTCACTCACTGGTCACTCGTCGTTACTCGCCACTCTCCCCCGCCCCCCCACCCTTGCCGCCCACCTGGTCCGAGACAGCACCTGTGCGAGAGCCAGTTTGACGACAACGTCAAGTTCAAGAACGTGGTGAACGAGGAGGATGAGGACGCGATGAGGCTGCAGCCCATCGGGCGCGACCGCGACGGCCTCGCCTACTGGCTGCAGCTCGACGACGACTTCAACGTGCGCCTCTACACGGAGGAGCAGGATGACGAGGCCTCCTGGAGGCTCGTCTCCCGGTGAGTGGGTGGGTTGGTGGGTGAGTGAGTGTGTGGGTGAGCGGGTGGGTGAGCGGGTCGGTGGGTCAGTGGGTGAGTGGCTGGGTCATTGGGTGAGTGGGTGGGTCAGTGGGTGAGTGGGTGGGTGGGTGGGCGACGACTTCAACGTGCGCCTCTACACGGAGGAGCAGGATGACGAGGCCTCCTGGAGGCTCGTCTCCCGGTGAGTGGGTGGGTTGGTGGGTGAGTGGGTGGGTGTGCGGGTGGGTGGGTGAGTGGGTGGGTGTGCGGGTGGGTGAGCGGGTGGGTGAGCGGGTGGGTGAGCGGGTCGGTGGGTCAGTGGGTGAGTGGCTGGGTCATTGGGTGAGTGGGTGGGTCAGTGAGTCAGTGGGTGAGTCAGTGGGTGAGTGGGTGGGTGAGTGGGTGGGTCAGTGGGTGAGTGGGTGGGTGAGTGGGTCAGTGGGTGGGTTAGTGGGTGGGTGAGTGGGTGGGTGGGCGACGACTTCAACGTGCGCCTCTACACGGAGGAGCAGGATGACGAGGCCTCCTGGAGGCTCGTCTCCCGGTGAGTGGGTGGGTTGGTGGGTGAGTGAGTGTGTGGGTGGGTGAGTGGGTGGGTGTGCGGGTGGGTGAGCGGGTGGGTGAGCGGGTGGGTGAGCGGGTGGGTGAGCGGGTCGGTGGGTCAGTGGGTGAGTGGCTGGGTCAGTGGGTGAGTGGGTGGATCAGTGAGTCAGTGGGTGAGTGGGTGAGTGGGTGGGTTAGTGAGTGGGTGGGTGGGCGACGACTTCAACGTGTGTCTCTACACGGAGGAGCAGGATGACGAGGCCTCCTGGAGGCTCGTCTCCCGGTGAGTGGGTGGGTTGGTGGGTGAGTGAGTGTGTGGGTGGGTGGGTGAGCGGGTGGGTGTGCGGGTGGGTGAGCGGGTGGGTGAGCGGGTGGGTGAGCGGGTCGGTGGGTCAATGGGTGAGTGGCTGGGTCATTGGGTGAGTGGGTGGGTCAGTGGGTGAGTGGGTGGGTCAGTGGGTGGGTTAGTGGGTGGGTGAGTGGGTGGGTGGGCGACGACTTCAAAGTGCGCCTTTACACGAAGGAGCAGGATGACGAGGCCTCCTGGAGGCTCGTCTCCCGGTGAGTGGGTGGGTTGGTGGGTGAGTGAGTGTGTGGGTGGGTGAGTGGGTGGGTGTGCGGGTGGGTGAGCGGGTGGGTGAGCGGGTGGGTGAGCGGGTGGGTGAGCGGGTCGGTGGGTCAGTGGGTGAGTGGCTGGGTCATTGGGTGAGTGGGTGGGTCAGTGTGTGAGTGGGTGGGTCAGTGGGTGGGTTAGTGGGTGGGTGAGTGGGTGGGTGGGCGACGACTTCAAAGTGCGCCTTTACACGAAGGAGCAGGATGACGAGGCCTCCTGGAGGCTCGTCTACCGGTGAGTGGGTGAGTGGGTAAGTGGGTGATTGGGTCGGTGAGTGGGTGGATGGTTGAGTTGGTGCGTGGATGAGAGAGTGGATAAGTGGGTAGGTGGGTGGATGGGTGGGTGGATGACGACTTCAGCGTGCGACGCTACACCAAGAAGCAGGATGACGAGGCCTCCTGGAGACTCGTCTCCCCGTGAGTGAGTGGGTAAATGAGTTGGTGGGCGAGTGAGGGAATAACTCAGCGGGTGAGTAAGTGGATGAGTGAGTGAGTGAGCGAGTGAATGGATGAGTGAGTGAGTGAGTGCATGAGCGGGTGAGTGAGCGAACGAATACGTGAGCGAGGTGAGTCTGTCGCTCCCCATCTCTTCCAGGGACCGCGGTCAACTGGCCGAGGTGGTGCAGCTGCTCAAGGCTCAGGTGGAGGTGGACGACAGAGGCTGTGGCGAATCCGGCGACAGCCCCCTCGCCGCGCCCGGCCAGGAGGCCTCGGCATCTCTGTCCGGCTCGGCCGGATCCGGATCGCCGTGCGCCGAGGATCCGGCAAGTGCGGAGATCGCCGATCCAGAGCGGCGGCAGCGGCAGCAATCGCAGACGGACACAGAGACGCCCTTCACAGATGCGTGTGGACAGAAAGCCGAGGGTGATCGTTCGCACGAGCAACCCTGCCCCCCAGACGACGATCGTCAGGCGAAGGAGCAGCCGCAGAAGGAGGATCAGCGGCAGCAGAGGCAGGAAAATCATCAGCAACAGAAGCAGGAGGATCAGCAGCAGCACGATTCGTCTCAAGAGCAGAGGCAAGAGGCCATCGACAGGCTTGGCGGAGTCCAGGGGGTCGCTGGCCGGGGGGTTGGAGGTGGCGAGGTGGTGAAGGCCGAGCGAGGGGACGAGCGGCACTGTGGCGAGTCCCCGCAGGAGCCAGCGGCTCTCTCCGGGAAGGCGGAAGAGGGCGCGGCGGTGGCGACGACGAAGAAGGAATCAGGTTCGAGTTGTGGGGGAGTTGGCCATATTTTTCGATAAAACCTCAGTTCATGACATAATGCAGATATCACATTTGCAATATAACGGGGGAGCAGCAACAACAGTTCATATTTAGTGGCGGCAATGTAATTTTTTTAATTAATATAATTATTATGCTTGTTTACCCAGGGTAAGTTGATGTCACGGTGGCGGCAATGTAATTTTTGCTACAGCTGTCGTATAACACAGGGTGATAAGAAAAATAAGAATAGGTTTTACCCTTTTTGGCAATAAAACAGGAGGTGTTAAGATGTTCACACACCAAATAGAAACCTTTTGAAAGGAAGCAAGTCTGCATTAACCACGCGTACTTGTGGTGAACATGCAAACAAACATTTTAACACGTAACCTCTGATAATATATTCATCGTCTTTGAAACTGATTGGTCTACATCGGAGACAGCCTTCTTTATGGCCTAGTCTCATCACCAGTGTCACATTAGAGAGCGCTAAAAGGCGAGCCGTACAAAAACAATGCACGTGTCAGAACATTTATAGCTCGGGGTGAGCAACTACATCATGAGATACCTTTCACTCGCGGGGAAGTACCCGGCGTTGCCCGGGTCAAACATTTTTTTCAAACCTACTCTTAAAAATCTTAACAGCAGTGCATGCTGACTGTGGTGGTATCTGCTATGATTGCAGCAGTGCATACCAACTGTGGTGGTACCTGCTATCACTGCAGTAGTACATGCTGACTCTATAGCAGTATTTATCGACTCTATAGCACAAAGTACTCACCTGACAGAGTGGCGTGGTGAGGCCTAGTCCCGTGCAGAGCCTCCGGCCTCGCCTAGATTGTCCAGCCGGCCGTGGTGGCACCTTGGCAGGCTGGGCTGCTACCCCTGACTCCCCCCCCCCCCCAGCCAGGATCTCCCCTGCCGCTCTGCAGTAATATCTACGGCCTATAGTGGCAGCATCTAGCGACTATATAGTAGTAAAAACTGCACGCATCGGGGTGAGGGGGACATCACACAGTGAAGAATTAACGTCAGCGTTTAGTGTATTTTTTAATAGCAATTTTTCACGCGAAAGAAAATGTCCCCCTCACTCCCACCGAAGGCGTGCCACTTGGCACGGGCCGTCCCCCCCACCAAAGGCGCGTGAGTTGGTACGGTCGTGCACACACGTCATAAATAAGGTAAAACGCACAAAAATGGCACTAATACGCTAATTAAACAAATTTTTATTTTACGGTTGTGAAAAAGGAATAGCGCTTGCTCACCGCGGGGCTTGCGGCTTGGTAGCTGGCTATTTTTTTTTCCGTAACCCACCGTTGGAGAGGCAAATCGTTCGCAAGCGCGCGAACAGACGCAAACCCACAAACAAACCCGCAAACAGACATTTTTTTTTTACTTTTTTTATATATATAGATAGTTAATTTCCATGTTCACCACAAGTACTGTGTGTGGTTAATGCATACTTGATTCCTTGCAAAAGGTGTATTAACATTTTACAGGGTGATACACCGCTGACTGTGGGATGCCCCATAGCACAGTTGGATGCCCCATAGCACAGCTGGATTGAGTTTGAACAGCGGCGGCAACAACAAACTATTAATTCCCTCCTCACTTGGCTAACGATGAAACGTTTCAGGTGACGACCGAGCGCATCTCCCCGACCTTGCCGAGGCGAGCGCGGCCACTCCGGTCGCCGTCAAACTCGAAGCCGCCGTCGCCGAAAATGACGAGCACGACGAGAAATTCCACGCCGACGTCACTGGCGCGACGAGGCCGGAGAACGACGACAGCGGTGTCGGCGTCAAAAGCGAGCGGCAGCGGCGCGAGGAGAAGCAGGCGAAGCTGCCAATGAAGAAACGCGAGCTGAAGATGTCTCAACGGTACTCGGCGGTGGTGTCGGCGGCGGAGACAACGGCGGGTCCGGCGCGGCCCTGGGAGGCCGGCGCCAAGTGCCAGGATCGTCCCGGCACACACCACCACCACCACCACCACGCGCAGAAATGGGAGTCGGACTCAGAACGCCCGACGTGTAAAGCCGAGGGTGAGGGAGACGCCGCCACCACCGCCGACGTGAAGCCGGAAGCCACGTTAAGTTCGCCCGTCGGCGAGGCCGGGCCGAGGCGGGGCTTTAAGCGGGAGGCGCCGACGGACGCCGGCGCGGTCGTTAAGGAGGAAGCCGGCGCGGAGGAGCCGCCCGCGAAGGATTGTGGGGAAACAGCGGCTCGGCATTGTGAGAATGCGGAGGGCGGCGACGCGGCGGCGCTGGCGCCGAGCGAGTCGGAGCCTCGCGGAGGCGGCCGGGTGGAGTGGACGGGCGCGGACAGGAAGGGCGGCGAGAGGTCTGGCCTGCTGCCCACTCCTAAAAGCGGCGGTGAGCGGGAGGAGGAGGGCGATCGCGGTGGTGGACGGTGCGGGCGAGGAGAAGCCGGGAATAATGACGTAGCGACGGAGGCCACCCCGCTCGGTAATCTGCACACCTGGCCGATAGCCTCGCACCACGGCGTTGATGACGACGACGACGACGACGACGTAGATGGCGGCGACGACGGCGATGATGATGGTGGCGACGAGGGATACGCTAGGGGGGTGGTCGATGCCGTCTCGGACGAGCGCAAGCAAGGCACTGCGACGGAGGCGGACGGTGTGAAGTCGCGGGACGCGGACCTGGCCCGCTGCGCCGATGAGACGCGGGCGGTGGCCGCCAGAGCTGGGGCCCCATATCCACTCCTCCCTCACCACCGTCACCACCACCACCACCACCGTCACTCTCACCAGCGTCACCACCGCCACCATCACCACCACCACCAGCAGCAGCATCAGCAGCAGCAGCGCCAGGGCGTCATCGTAGCCAATGTGTACATGAGGGAGGCCGCCCCTCCTCCGACGGAGGCAGGGGGCGGCGCTGATGCGGGCGAGCATCCCTCTGGAACCTCGGAGGACACTGCCGCTCTCGCGTCGTCTCGGCAGGAGGTGGTGGACTGTGGCGGCACCGCCGCTTGCGCTGTTGCCGCCATCGCCACGGGCAAGGGGGCGAGCAGAGCGCAGGCGAACGGCGCGGCTGTATCGGCGAGGAGGGAGAAACCGAGGGGCGAGGGGCACGAGGGCAATGAGGAGAGGGGAGAGGCGCCAAGAAGGGAGCGGGAGAGAGGGGCGGGCACCTCCTCGCTGGCGGCGCGAGACGGCGGTGGGGAACTGGACGCGGGTGCCGCGGGCGTCGTCGCGGGCGCCGCCGGAGCCGTAGAAGAGGAGCGGCAGGAGCCGAAAGTTACGAAGCACCGGCCGAAGCCGCAAACGACGACGAAAACAACAACAGGGGAAACTCGGCCGAGCGCCGCCACCGCAACCCGCGAGGGTTCCGTGAAGCCAGCGGAAGCGACGTCCGGCGCGGCACGACTGGAGGAGCACGCGAGCGACCGCGGAGACACGGAGGGCGAACCGGCGAGAGGATCAACGGCTGCTGGCGACGCCGATCATGTGGCTGGGGCTCGGCACTGTCCGGATTTAGGTCCTGGGTCTGGCCCAGATGTAAGACCGGGGTCCGGTCCGGATTTACGTCCCGAGTCTGGCCTGGATTTGGGTCCTAAGTCTGGTCCAGACGTAAGACCTGCGTCTGGTCCAGATTCGGCTTCTGGTCCGGGTCAACATTCAGTCACCGGGTCCAGTCCACGTCCGGGTGGCGAGGCTCGTCCGTTAACGTGCCGTGAACCGGTTTGGAATGCGAGTCCCAAGTCCGGTGGCAATGCCACGGAGATACTGGCCGGCGGCCTGCGCGTCTGCACCGCCGACCGCCAAGGGTCGGGACGCGGCAAAGGCGAGGCCTCGGAAGCCGACGGTGGACGGCGAGTTGCGGTCTCGCAGGAAACCGGCGAGGGCGATGAGGACGGGGCGGAGGACGTCGCCAGACCGGAAAGGGAGGACGGCATCGGGGGCGCAGCGGAAGACGGTGGGGAGCGCACGGAAGTGAACTGTGCGGACCGCGGGGCCGTCGGCACGGGTGGCGCCAGCGCTGGACGAGACGGGCACGGCAGTGCTGATAATTCTCCCAGAGTTGACTTGGGCGACGCCGCCGTCAACAGGGCTTCTACGGGAGAAGGTTCCGCTGGTGGTGGTGCCGTCACCGCCGCTGCCGCGGACGGGGGCAGTGAAGGAAGTGGTGACGTTGCGGCTGACGATCAAAGCGGAAGAAGAGCGGGTGTTGATGTTGGTCCTGTTCGCGGCGGTGGAGACATTTCCGGCGCGGACCAAAGCAGGGGTGCACTCGCCAATGCCGGTGATAAAACCAACGGTGCGAGTGCTGCGACTGCCCGCAGAGTCGCCATTGATGATGGTGAAGATGGAGTGGTTCGTTCTCGCGACACAAGTCGCGGCGGTGGACATAGCGACGGTGTCGCTCATCCAGTCGGCGGTGGAGACGTCGCCATCAGCGATCCAGCGGCTGCGGGCGCGGGTAGTGCAGCCGTTGACCAAACCGGCAGCGGAGGAGTCTCCAGTGCCAGTGGCCGTCGGGCGAGGGGTGGAGCCGACGATCATGCCGGAGATGGCGATGAACCCGCCGGCGACCAGGCCGGAGCTCGAGGCGAAGCGTCGGGCCGCGCTGGCTTTGACGCGGTTGGGACTGGGCGACCTCTGGCTGGAGCCCAAACCGCCCCCGTTGCTCAACGTGTCCATCCCGTTGCTGGAGGTGGACACGCTGCCGGTGGCGGCGGTGGTGGTGGCAGCGGTGGTGGTGGTGGTGTTGCCCGTGGAACCTCTACCGCTGCCGCCGACGGAGGCGATCGTCGAGCCGTAGCTGGAGCCGGGGCGGCCGATGGTTGGGAGGCATCCGGAGGCCAGGGGAGGAGTGGGATTGACGGCGGCGTTGTTTCTGCAGGCGCTGAGAAATATGGGAATGAAGCCGAAAAAGCCCTTGGCGTTGATCCAGATAGAGGAGGAAAAGGAGGTGGTGATGGTGGTGGTGAACGGGCTGGAGATAGAGGTGGTGCTGCTGCTGCTGACGATGGTCAAACTGATAATGAAAATGATGCCGATCAAAGCACTGGTGGAGATGTTGGTGATGCTGATGTAGTCAAGGGTGGAGATAGTGGTGCTGATAAACTCGAGGGTGGAGACGTTGCCGGTACGCATGAAGTCAAGGGTGGAGATGTTGGCGGAGCTCATGAACTCAAGAGGGGAGATGCTGCTGGTGCTGATGAAGTCAAGCGTGGAGATGATGAAATCATGGATGGAGATGATGAAGGCAAGCGTGGAGATGTTGATGAAATCATGGGTGGAGGTGATGAACTCAAGGTTGGAGAAGTTACTGGTGTTAATCGAATTCAGGTTGGAGATGTTGCTGGTGTTGATCATCTCAAGAAGGGAGATTTGGCTCATGTTGATCAACTCAAGAAGGGAGATGTGGCTGGCGTTGATCTACTCAAGAAGGGAGATGTGGCTGGTGTTGATCAACTCAAGAAGAGAGACGTGGCTGGTGTTGATCAACTGAAGAAGGGAGATGTAGTTGGTGTTAATCAACTCAAGAAGATAGATTTGTCTGGTGATGATCATCTCAAGAAGGGAGATGTGGCTGGCATTGATCAACTCAAGAAGAGAGATGTGGCTGGTGATGATCATCTCAAGAAGGGAGACTTGGCTGGTGATGATCATCTCAAGAAGGGAGATTTGGCTGGTGATGATCTACTCAAGAAGAGAGATGTGGCTGGTGATGATCAACTCAAGAAGGGAGATGTGGCTGGCGTTGATCAACTCAAGAAGAGAGACGTGGCTCATGTTGATCATCTCAAGAAAGGAGATGCGGCTGGTGTTGATCTACTAAAGAAGGGAGATGTGGCTGGTGTTGATCAACTCAAGAAGAGAGATTTGACTGGTGTTGATCAACTCAAGAAGGGAGATGTGGCTGGTGATGATCAATGCAAGAAGAGAGATGTGGCTGGCGTTGATCAACTCAAGAAGAGAGATGTGGTTGGTGTTGATCAACTCAAGAAGGGAGATGTGGCTGGTGTTGATCAACTGAAGAAGGGAGATGTGGCTGGTGATGATCAATGCAAGAAGGGAGATGTGGCTGGCGTTGATCAACTCAAGAAGAGAGATGTAGCTGGTGTTGATCAACTCAAGAAGAGAGATGTGGTTGGTGTTGATCAATGCAAGAAGAGAGATGCACCTGTTGATCAACTCAAGAAGGGAGATGCGGCTGGTGTTGATCAACTGAAGAAGAGAGATGTGGCTGGCGTTGATCAACTGAAGAAGGGAGATTTGGCTGTTGTTGATCATCTCAAGAAGAGAGATGTGGCTGGTGATGATCAACTCAAGAAGATAGATGTGCCTGGTGATGATCAACTCAAGAAGGGAGATTTGACTGGTGTTGATCATCTCAAGAAGGGAGATGTGCCTGGTGATGATCAACTCAAGAAGGGAGATTTGACTGGTGTTGATCATCTCAAGAAGAGAGATGTGGCTGGTGATGATCAACTCAAGAAGATAGATGTGCCTGGTGATGATCAACTCAAGAAGGGAGATTTAACTGGTGTTGATCATCTCAAGAAGGGAGATTTGGCTGGTGTTGATCATCTCAAGAAGGGAGATGTGGTTGGTGTTGATCAACTCAAGAAGGGAGATGTGGCTGATGTTGATCTACTCAAAAAGGGAGATGTGGTTGGTGTTGATCAACTCAAGAAGGGAGATGTGGCTGTTGATCAACTGAAGAAGGCAGATTTGGCTGGTGTTGATCAACTCAGGAAGGGAGATGTGGCTGTTGATGATCATCTCAGGAAGGGAGATGTGGCTCATGTTGATCATCTCAGGAAGAGAGATGTGGCTGGTGTTGATCAACTCAAGAAGAGAGATGTGGCTGGTGTTGATCAACTCAAGAAGGGAGATGTGGCTGGTGTTGATCATCTCAGGAAGAGAGATGTGGCTCATGTTGATCATCTCAAGAAAGGAGATGTGGCTGGTGATGATCATCTCAGGAAGGGAGATGTGGCTGGTGATGATCATCTCAGGAAGGGAGATGTGGCTCATGTTGATCATCTCAAGAAAGGAGATGTGGCTGGTGATGATCATCTCAGGAAGGGAGATGTGGCTCATGTTGATCATCTCAAGAAAGGAGATGTGGCTGGTGTTGATCAACTCAACAAAGGAGATGTGGCTGGTGTTGATCAATGCAAGAAAGGAGATGTGGCTGGTGTGGAGCGACTCGAAGGTGGAGATTATGGTGGCATTCGTAAAGTCAAGGGTTGTGTTGACGAAATGAAAGATGTTGATGAAGTTAAAGCACTAAAAAAGGGAATTGTTGCCACAGTCGAGGGTGGAAAAGACGATGCCATTGTTGGTGGAGCCAAGAAGACAGCCGATTCCGTTGACGCTCAAAACCGAGGGCGGAGATGGGGGCGGCGTCGTTGGAGACCAGGCTAACGGGCGAGATGGCAGAGGAGACGCCACCTCTTCTGTCAGCTCGGCACCCAACGTCGGCGACGACGAAGATGATTCCCTCAACGTCGACGAGTCTTGCGATGGCGAAGGAGACCGCGCTGGTGATGCTGCTGTTGCAGCCGCTCGTCGTGATGAGCTCGGTGGAGCTGATGCTGATGGAGCCCGTCGTGGTTTTGGTGCCACTGGTGGCGCCGGTGGAGTTGTCGGTGGAGCCGATGGTGGCGATGGCGGTCGCGTTGACGGGATCCTTGCTGCTGATGGCACAGCTGACGGCAATGCTGCCGCTGGTTTTGGTGAGCACGCTGCTGACGGAGCCCGCGGCCTACAAGGTGACAAATCTTCTGGCGCAGACGACAAACTGGACGAAGGGGCTTCGGAGGGCGAGGGGCACCCGGTCAAAATAGCCGATGGAGGAGGAGGAGTAGAGCAAGCCGGACCGGGGGTCACGGGTCAAGAGTCGCACCTGGACACAAACGTCCGAGTGCACGGCCGGGACGAGTCCTCGAAGGAAACCGCGAGCGAGAAGAAGATTGTGGAGGAACGGTCAGAGGAGGACAAGGAGGAGAACAAGGAGGAGGAGGAGGAGGAGCGGGAGGACTGCGGGAAATCAGCGGGGAGACGAGGCCACCCCTCAAAGAACGACGGCAACGACCCCGGCGTCCGCCTCCCCGCGGAGGACCCCGAGGGCCAGCAGCGGCCCGCCAACGAGCCGGCGCAGCCCGAGGCCGCCGAAGCGGCAGGAGATTCGGCCAAACCCGAATCGTCGGCAACGCCCGGGGACACCGGCGGGCTCGGCACGGCGACGGAGACGACGCCGGGAGGCGGCGGCGAGGAGGGCACGGCGTCGGCGGGTCGCCAAGTGGACGCCGGCGATCTGAGGCCCCCGGACGGCGACGCCGGCCGGGCGGCCGCCCCCGGCAGGGGGGCGGCCGGCGGCGGCGGAAAGAGGCGCGGCGCCGGCGGCCGTGGGAAGGCGAGGGCGGCGGAGGGGAGCAAGCCGCCGTCGGCTGGGCAGGAGAGCGAGCGGCGGGAGGGGAGAGAGGGCGGCGAAGAGGGGGAAGGAGGGGAGAGGAGGTGGACCCTGCGGAGGTCGACGCGGATCTCGCGCCTGCCCCCGCCGAGCTACGACGAGGCGGGGGCGGCGGCAACGTCGGCGGCGTCGGCGGCGTCGGAGGCGGCGGCGAAAGAGGTGAAGGGGAAACGCGGCCGGAGCGACGTGGCCGGGGACGTGGGGAGGTCGCAGGGGTCAAGGCAGGAGGCCGGCAAGCGCAAGGTGAGTGGGGCTGGTGGGCGGCGCCGGGCCACCTCCCATCATTTGGATATTGTTGTTACGGTACATGAGAGAGAGAGATTGGTGCCAGAAACATGTGGCACTACTTGAGTCACATTGGCTGGCACAAGACGGAGGAAAGTGGAAACAGCAAATGACGACATGTGCATTGGACACCCATGGGTCGTGGTGACGGTGATACGCTGCACTATACACTACGCTGTACACTATACACTACACTACTGTGATGTGCACTACTTGAGCATATTGGCACAAGACAGAGAGGATAGTGGAAACAACAAATGGCAAAATGCACTAAAGGCTGTCTGCCCATGGGTCGTGATGATGATGATGATGATACACTGCACTATACACTACGCTATACACTATACTATACACGACTATACACTACACTACTATGATCTGCACTACTTGAGCATATTGGCACAAGACAGAGAGGATAGTGGAAACAACAAATGGCAAAATACGCAGTGGACACCTACTAAGGGGCGATCTGCCCATGGATCGCGATGATGATCACGCATCTATGTACGCGGTGAACTCGGCAACAACGAGCGGAGCGCCGAGCTGCTGGAACGCGGCGAGTTGGCACAGTCGGAGGCGCCCGTCGTGCATCGGCCTGTCATCTCATTCAGTCTACCCATGGCACCTGTGCCTGTCCCGTTACCTCTCCTCACACACCCTGCAGAACAGGGGGGAAACATGCAAACTCCACACACCGTACGAGGCTGTTAGCGAGCAGCACCCATTAAGACCGGCGCGGCGCACGAGGTGGGTGGGTGGGTGGCCAGCAGCACGCCCGGCCGGCCGCCTTTGTCTCCCTCGTGGTGATGTTTCCACACAGCGCCAGGTACTGAGTCGACCGAGTAGAGGCCCAGATAATTGTCGCTGGCCGTGAGCGGGAATTGAACTCGGGTCACGAGGCTCGTAGAGCAGCATGCGAGCCACTGCACCGCCGCTCCCCATGCACCACGAAACGAAGACCCCCCCCTGTGTACCCTTACCGGACTGTAGGGGCAAGTGCTGTTAGCGAGTAGCACCTATGAAGGCCGCCATGCCACACAGCAGGCACAGCGGTTGTGATGTTGCCGCTTGCTATGCGCTTGACGATGATGATGACGATGACGTTGCCTCTGATGTTCACGATGTCGTCTTTGTCATCTCCCTTCATCTCACGTGCTGATCATCCCTCTCTACCGCTACCACCGCCACTACCCACCACCATCACCGCCATTATCAACGTCATCACCACCGTCAAAACCACTTCCACCACCACCGCCACTGTTACAACCGCCACCACCGTGTCTGCCACCTCTACCATCGCCACTTCGTCTGCCACAACCGCCACCATCACCGCCTCTACCACCATCATCACCCTTACCACCACTGTTACCACCATATCCACTGCCTCTACCAATCACCGCCACTGCCGCCACCGCCGCCAACGTCACCGCCACCGCGGCCGCCCACCTCGACGACCTCTACCGCTACCGTCACCACCACCACCACCACCACCACGGTCACCGCCACCACCACCACCACCACGGTCACCGCCACCACCACCACCACGGTCACCGCCACCACCACCACCACCACCACGGTCACCGCCGCCAGCGCACGCCGGGCCGACGGCAAGGCAACGGCAAGCGCCCGCGCGGCGCCGGCGGTCGGGGCAAGCGCAAGCGGTGGTCGCGGTGGTGCAACGCGGACACGGAGAGCGAAGACGATGACGAGCGGGAGCAGGAGGAGGAGGAGTTCCTGATGGACGGCCTGCAGGGCGACGACGACGACGACGACGACGAGGAGGAGAGGGACGGCATCGTCTACGGCGGGGCGCGGTGGCCCCGTCTGGCGCCCGCCCAGCGGCGCGCCGACGAGGCCAAGGCGAAGGAGGGCGGCGGGGAGGCGGGGGGCGAGGATGTGGACGGCGAAGAGGAGGAGGAGGAGGAGGAGGAGGAGGAGGACGACGACGAGGACGAGGAGGAGGGAGGGGAGGCGGAGGAGGAGGAGGAAGGGAAGGAGGGGCGGGACAGCGGGCAGGAGCACGAGGAGGTGGTTGAGGAGGATCCCTGTAAGAAGTGTGGACTCTCGAACCATCCTGAGCTGGTACGGGCCCACGGTGGTAACGCGTAAAGATGAAGGCAAACGATCCCAGCACCACCACAGCCACTATAGACCAGGCAGACTGATGGGGCCAAGTAAACTATTAAACTAAATCCCCCCTGTCTCCTATAGAAGAGCAATCCCAGTCCCCCCTGTCCCCTATAGACGAGCGATCCCAGTCCCCCGTGTCCCCTATAGAAGAGCAATCCCAGTCCCCCCTGTCCCCTATAGACGAGCGATCCCAGTCCCCCGTGTCCCCTATAGAAGAGCAATTCCAATTCTCCGTGCCCCCTATAAACGAGCGATCCCAATCTCCCCCTGTGTCCCCTATAGATGAGCGATCCCAATCCCCCGTGTCCCCTATAGATGAGCGATCCCAATCCCCGTGTCCCCTATAGACGAGCGATCCCAATCCCCGTGTCCCCTATAGACGAGCGATCCCAATCCCCGTTTCCCCTATAAACGAGCGATCCCAATCCCCGTGTCCCCTATAGACGAGCGATCCCAGTCCCCCCTAGAAACGAGCGATCCCAATCCCCCTGTGTCACCTTTATACGAGCGATCCCAGTCCCCCGTGCCCCCTATAGACGAGCGATCCCAATCCTCCGTGCCCCCTATAGAAGAGTGATCCCAATTCTCCGTGTCCCCTATAGAAGAGTGATCCCAATTCTCCGTGTCCCCTATAGACGAGCGATCCCAATTCTCCGTGTCCCCTATAGACGAGTGATCACAATTCTCCGTGTCCCCTATAGAAGAGCGATCCCAGTCCCCCTGTGTCCCCTATAGACGAGATATCCCAATCCCCGTGTCCCCTATAGACAAGCGATTCCAATCCCCCCCTGTCCCCTATAGACGAGCGATCCCAATTCTCCGTGTCCCCTACAGACGAGCGATCCCAATTCTCCGTGTCCCCTATAAACGACCGATCCCAATCCCCCGTGTCCCCTATATACGAGTGATCCCAATCCCCCCGTGTCCTCTATAGAGGAGCGACCCCCAATCTAAAATATGAAACTATTTTTATTTTACCAGGTGCAAGGCCCCACTGAGCTGTCTCGCTCGTTTTCAGAACCCACCCTGGCAATCATGGGGAGAGAGACAGAGAGAGAGAGAGACTCGCAGACTCCAAATATACAGCAGCAGGCATCGTCAGGGTCGGCATCGAACCCACGACCGCCTGTATACCAGGCGAGGTAGTCAACATCTCCTAGCCACCGTGGCGCCTCAAGTGCTGTTAACCTATCGAGGCCTGCACGTAGCAACCTACGAGAGGGGCGGTGTGGTCAGCAGCACTCCCCGCTGCTTTTGTCCTCGCAGTGCCAATGTTTTTACACACCGCACCAGGCACTCGCTTGAGGCCTGGTTGAGCCTAGGGGGAAGCCCAGGACCGGGTTCAGATATATACACGCCGCTTTTATTGATCGTGCACGGGATTCGAACCGGGGTCGAAAGCGTTCGTAGTGCGGCGCTCTAACCACGGCAGCCCACTGCTCCCCACTCGCGTATTAAACACGTGCACAAACGTACACGTGCGTAAGTCCCTAGGGATGGTACGGACCGGTGCGCGTGTAGGATATGTGCTCGCGAACAGCTCTTGTCCCGACGGTCTGCCTGGGTTATGCATAATAAAGGTTTCTGGGTTAGATCGCTTAAGTATAAATGCGTCGTTAACCATGTTGCTATTGCTAGCTGATGGCAATGCCGGTGTCGGCAATGATTGTGATGGTGCTGCTGCTACTACTACTTCTGCTGATGCTAACGATGATACTGCTGCTGACGATCTACTGACGATGATGCTTTTGCTGCTGCTGCTGCTGCTGCGTCTACTGCTACTGATGATGCTGCTGCTGCGTCTACTGCTACTGATGATGCTGCTGCTGCGTCTACTGCTACTGATGATGCTGCTGCTGCTGCTGCGTCTACTGCTACTGATGATGATGCTGCTGCGTCTACTGCTACTGATGATGCTGCTGCTGCGTCTACTGCTACTGATGATGCTGCTGCTGCGTCTACTGCTACTGATGATGATGCTGCTGCTGCGTCTACTGCTACTGATGCTGCTGCTGCCGCCGCCGCTTACATTGCCGCCACTGATGATGATGTTGACAATTCTGCCCGCGCGCGTCCGCGTCCGCGTGTGTGTGTGTGTACAGATCCTGCTGTGTGACTCGTGCGACAGCGGCTACCACACGGCGTGCCTGCGCCCCCCTCTCATGCTCATCCCCGACGGGGAGTGGTACTGCCCGCCCTGTGAGCACGTACGTCCCACGCAGACCGGTCCAACTGCCCACAATGTGCCACTCGCGGGGGCGGGGCGCGGTTTAGGGGTTGAGGGCTCCAGCAAGTGGGCGGCAGCGGCAACGCCTCGTGGCCCGCGCTGCCGAGACGCGTCGGCCCGAGTTCGATTCTCGACCCGGGGGGCGCCTTTCCGCTTGGAGTTTGTCAGCGCCCGCCCTGTTCTGCGGAGTGTGTGAGCGAATGCGTGAGTGAGAGTGTGCGAGTGAGTGGGTGATTGCGTGAGTAAGAGTGCGAGTGTGTGAGTGAGTGATTGCGTGAGTGAGAGTGTGTGAGTGAGTGAGTGATTACGTGAGTAAGAGTGCGAGTGTGTGCGTGAGTGAGTGATTGCGTGAGTGAGAGTGTGCGAGTGAGTGGTTGATTGCGTGAGTAAGAGTGCGAGTGTGTGCGTGAGTGATTGCGTGAGTGAGAGTGTGCGAGTGAGTGGTTGATTGCGTGAGTAAGAGTGCGAGTGTGTGCGTGAGTGAGTGATTGCGTGAGTGAGAGTGTGTGAGTGAGTGAGTGATTACGTGAGTAAGAGTGTGCGAGTGTATGCGTGATAACGTGAGTAAGAGTGAGTGAGTGATTACGTGAGTAAGAGTGTGTGAGTGAGTGATTACGTGAGTAAGAGTGTGTGAGTGTATGTGTGAGTGATTGCGTGAGTTAGAGTGTGCGAGTGAGTGAGTGATTACGTGAGTAAGAGTGTGCGAGTGTATGCGTGAGTGACTGCGTGAGTAAGAGTGTGAGTGTATGCGTGAGCGAGTGATTACGTGAGTAAGAGTGTGTGAGTGAGTGAGTGATTACGTGAGTAAGAGTCTGCGAGTGTATGCGTGAGTGATTACGTGAGTAAGAGTCTGCGAGTGTATGCGTGAGTGATTGCGTGAGTAAGAGTGTGTGAGTGTATGCGTGAGTGAGTGATTGCGTGAGTGAGTGAGTGATTGCGTGAGTAAGTGTGTGAGTGTGCGTGGGTGAGTGATTACGTGAATAAGAGTGTGTGAGTGAGTGAGTGATTGCGTGAGTAAGTGTCAGTGAGTGAGTGATTACGTGAGTAAGAGTGTGAGTGTATGCGTGAGTGAGTGATTACGTAAGAGTGTGTGAGTGTATGCGTGAGTGAGTGATTACGTGAGTAAGACTGTGCGAGTGAGTGAGTGATTGCGTGAGTAAGAGTGTGTGAGTGAGTGATTGCGTGAGTAAGAGTGTGAGTGTATGCGTGAGTGAGTGATTGTGTGAGTAAGAGTGTGAGTGTATGCGTGAGTGAGTGATTGCGTGAGTGAGTGTGTGTGAGTGCGTGAGTGAGTGATTGCGTGAGTAAGAGTGTGCGAGTGAGTGAGTGATTGCGTGAGTAAGAGTGTGAGTGTATGCGTGAGTGAGTGATTACGTAAGAGTGTGTGAGTGTATGCGTGAGTGAGTGATTGCGTGAGTAAGAGTGTGCGAGTGAGTGAGTGATTGCGTGAGTAAGAGTGAGTGAGTGAGTGATTGCGTGAGTAAGAGTGTGAGTGTATGCGTGAGTGAGTGATTGCGTGAGTAAGAGTGTGCGAGTGTATGCGTGAGTGAGTGATTACGTAAGAGTGTGTGAGTGAGTGAGTGATTGCGTGAGTAAGAGTGTGCGAGTGAGTGTGTGAGTGAGTGATTGCGTGAGTAAGAGTGTGAGTGTATGCGTGAGTGAGTGATTACGTAAGAGTGTGTGTGTGTATGCGTGAGTGAGTGATTACGTGAGTAAGAGTGAGTGAGTGATTACGTAAGAGTGTGTGAGTGTATGCGTGAGTGAGTGATTGCGTGAGTAAGAGTGTGAGTGTATGCGTGAGTAAGAGTGTGTGAGTGTATGCGTGAGTGAGTGATTGCGTGAGTAAGAGTGTGTGAGTGTATGAGTGAGTGAGTGATTGCGTGAGTAAGAGTGTGAGTGTATGAGTGAGTGAGTGATTACGTAAGAGTGTGTGAGTGTATGCGTGAGTGAGTGATTGCGTGAGTAAGAGTGTGCGAGTGAGTGAGTGAATGCGTGAGTGAGAGTGTGCGAGTGAGTGTGTGCGTGCGCGTGAGCGCGTGTGCCCAGCCACCGCACGCCCCAGGCAGCTTCCGTTTGGCCGCATAGAGGGGGGCGGCCGAATGGACACGACCTCCTGCATACCAGGCGAGGTAATTAACATCGTCCCCCCACCGCCCCCTACCTGCAGAAGAAGCTGTGCGTGAAGCTGCAAGAGGCATTGACGGACCTCGACGCGATGCTCAAGAAGAAGGAGCGGGCAGAGAGAAGGTGGGGCGGAGGTGACGGGTGGGGGTGCTGAATGGCGGTTGTTGTTGATGGTGGTGATAGTTACGATGGTGGTGACGATGGTGGTGACAGTTACGATGGTGGTGACGATGGTGGTGACAGTTACCATGGTGGTGACAGTTACGATGGTGGTGACGATGGTGGTGACAGTTACGATGGTGGTGACGATGGTGGTGACAGTTACGATGGTGGTGACGATGGTGGTGACAGTTACGATGGTGGTGACGATGGTGGTTACGATGGTGGTGACGATGGTGGTGACGATGGTGGTGACAGTTACGATGGTGGTGACGATGGTGGTGACAGTTACGATGGTGGTGACGATGGTGGTGACAGTTACGATGGTGGTGACAGTTACGATGGTGGTGACGATGGTGGTGACGATGGTGGTGACGACGGTGGTGACAGTTACGATGGTGGTGACGATGGTGGTGACGATGGTGGTGACGATGGTGGTGACGATGGTGGTGACGATGGTGGTGACGATGGTGGTGACGATACGCGAGCAATCGGATTGCTTGAGTAAATTTTATCACCTGAACAATCCGATTACTTTTGTAATCCGATTACTTAGTGATTAGATTAATGTAGCAATCAGATTACTTTAGTAATCCGATTACATATCCCCGCTCGAGTAGCCCCAGTTTGAGTCAAAGCACCGCCGGGTTAACTTTTTTTTGCATCTTCGCGGAGAGAGCGGTGGCCCAGCGGTTAGCGAGCTGCGCTATGAACCCGGCGACCCGAGTTTCGATTCCCGCTCGCTGCCAACGTCGGCGACGAAACATTACAAACCGGATCCGGCACCCTCCCCTAGGTCGACTCGGCCTCAAATTATTACCCGTTGCGATGTGTGACGGTGCCGGCACCGGGGATGCAAAGGTGGCCGGGCGTGTGTGTGTGTGTGTGCGTAGGTGCTCGCTAACAGCACTTGCCCCAACAAGTATTTTAAGGCCAATGAGAGGGATCTTTGTTGTGTATGTGTGGAGAGCGGTAGTGCAGCAGACGGTTATCTGAACCGGTCCTGGGCCCCGTGTCTCTGTCACCATGTCCCTGTGTCACCGTGTCCCCATGTGATCCGTGTCCCCGTCTGACCCGTGTCCCCGTCTGACCCGTGTCCCCCGTCTCCCCGTGTCCCCGTGTGACCCGTGCCCCCGTGTGACCCCTGTCCCCGTGTGACCCCTGTCCCCGTGTGACCCCTGTCCCCGTGTGACCCGTGTCCCCGTGTGACCCGTGTCCCCGTGTGACCCGTGTCCCCGTGTGACCCCGTGTCCCCGTGTGACCCGTGCCCCCGTGTGACCCGTGTCCCCGTGTGACCCGTGCCCCCGTGTGACCCGTGTCCCCGTGTGACCCGTGTCCCCGTGTGACCCGTGTCCCCGTGTGACCCGTGTCCCCGTGTGACCCCGTGTCCCCATGTGACCCGTGCCCCCGTGTGACCCCCAGCCATCGCGCGTCCCGTTCTGGTGCTGACACACTTACCTCCCTTGCAGCGCGTGAAAGGCTATACGGGGGGTGGGGAGCGGGATGTTTGTCTTTTGTGTTTTCCCGCGGCGCAGAAAGGAACGGAGCATCTACCTGGGAGTCAACACGGAGAATATCATCAGCCCGGCCGCCAAGGTGCGTCGCACAAGCCCTCTTGGGTTTCTGTCCCATGCCAGGAGCTTCCGTTAAACTCTGAACAAGCGCTGCTGCTGCTGCTGTACAGAGAACGCTGTCTCGGCCACTGCTGGAATCCTACTGCTGATGATGCTAACAATGACGATGCTACTGCAGCTGACGATGATGACGCTGTTGCTGCTGACGATGATGATGCTATTGCTGCTGCTGACAATGATAATGCTATTGCTGCTGACAATGATGATGCTATTGCTGCTGCTGCTGACAATGATGTTGCTATTGCTGCTGCTGCTGTTGATAATTATGTTGCTATTGCTGTTGCTGACAATGATGCTGCTATTGCTGCTGCTGCTGACAATGATGTTGCTATTGGTGCTGCTGCTGACAATGATGATGCTATTGCTGCTGACAATGATGTTGCTATTGCTGCTGCTGCTGACAATGATGATGCTATTGCTGCTGCTGCTGACAATGATGATGCTATTGCTGCTGCTGACAATGATGATGCTATTGCTGCTGCTGCTGACAATGATGATGCTATTGCTGCTGCTGCTGACAATGATGATGGTATTGCTGCTGCTGCTGACAATGATGATGCTATTGCTGCTGCTGCTGACAATGATGATGCTATTGCTGCTGCTGACAATGATGATGCTATTGCTGCTGACAATGATGATGCTATTGCTGCTGCTGCTGACAATGATGATGCTATTGCTGCTGCTGACAATGATGATGCTATTGCTGCTGACAATGATGATGCTATTGCTGCTGCTGCTGCTGACAATGATGATGCTATTGCTGCTGACAATGATGTTGCTATTGCTGCTGCTGACAATGATGTTGCTATTGCTGCTGCTGCCAATGATGATGCTATTGCTGCTGCTTCTGCTGCCAATGATGATGCTATTGCTGCTGCTGCTGCCAATGATGATGCTATTGCTGCTGCTGACAATGATGATGCTATTGCTGCTGCTGCTGCTGCCAATGATGATGCTATTGCTGCTGCTGACAATGATGATGCTATTGCTGCTGCTGACAATGATGATGCTATTGCTGCTGCTGACAATGATGATGCTATTGCTGCTGCTGACAATGATGATGCTATTGCTGCTGCTGCTGACAATGATGATGCTATTGCTGCTGCTGCTGACAATGATGATGCTATTGCTGCTGCTGCTGACAATGATGATGCTATTGCTGCTGCTGCTGACAATGATGATGCTATTGCTGCTGCTGCTGACAATGATGATGCTATTGCTGCTGCTGACAATGATGATGCTATTGCTGCTGCTGACAATGATGATGCTATTGCTGCTGCTGACAATGATGATGCTATTGCTGCTGACAATGATGTTGCTATTGCTGCTGCTGACAATGATGATGCTATTGCTGCTGACAATGATGATGCTATTGCTGCTGCTGACAATGATGTTGCTATTGCTGCTGCTGACAATGATGATGCTATTGCTGCTGCTGACAATGATGATGCTATTGCTGCTGCTGCTGACAATGATGATGCTATTGCTGCTGCTGCTGACAATGATGATGCTATTGCTGCTGCTGCTGACAATGATGATGCTATTGCTGCTGCTGCTGCTGCTGCTGACAATGATGATGCTATTGCTGCTGCTGACAATGATGATGCTATTGCTGCTGCTGACAATGATGCTATTGCTGCTGCTGACAATGATGATGCTATTGCTGCTGACAATGATGTTGCTATTGCTGCTGCTGACAATGATGATGCTATTGCTGCTGCTGACAATGATGTTGCTATTGCTGCTGCTGACAATGATGATGCTATTGCTGCTGCTGCTGCCAATGATGATGCTATTGCTGCTGCTGCTGACAATGATGATGCTATTGCTGCTGCCAATGATGATGCTATTGCTGCTGCTGACAATGATGATGCTATTGCTGCTGCTGCTGACAATGATGATGCTATTGCTGCTGCTGTTGCTGCTGACAATGACGACGCCGATGATGGTGGTATCATCGCAGGCGGAGAGCGACGCTGCTGCTGCTGCTGCTCCTCCTCGCTGCACGTCCCCGCCGGAGGCAAAGCGTGCGGAGCTGCACGCTTTGCTGCTGCTGGAGCGGCGCTCGGCACGCGCGAGGCGAGCGCCGGTCAGCTACCGCTTCGAGGCCTTCGACGAGGCCATCGACGAGGCCATCCAGTACGACATGAGGGAGGTCGAGGGTGAGTGGGAGCAGGGGTCACACGGGGACATGGGTCACACGGGGACATGGGTCACATGGGGACACGGGGACACGGGTCACACGGGGACAGAGACACGGGGCCCAGGACCGGTTCACATAATCGTCCGCTGCACCACCGCTCTCCACACATACACAACAAAGACAAAGATCCCTCTCATAGGCCTTAAAATACTTGTTGGGGCAAGTGCTGTTAGTGAGCACCTACGCGCACACACACACGCTGACACACACGCACGCGCTCAACCGATGAGCTGATTTTTCCCTCTGCCGGAATGGCGGCGCGCAGGTGCCGGCCTCGGCAAGGACATCGAGAACCTGAAAGCGTCGCGGCCCCGCCCGCCCGCCCCAGTGCATCGTGGGAAGGACATGTCGGCCATCCTGGGGGCGGCCGTGGACGACGGCGACGATGGGGGCGATGCAGAGGAGGATGAGGAGGGAGAGGATGAGGAGGAGGAGGAGGAGGAGGAGACGCGGGGAGCTGGGGGCAAAGGAGGAGGGCAGCCCAAGGAGGAGGAGGAGGAGGCGGAGTTGGTCTCCGGGGAAGGCGAGGTTGCCGGGCGCGACGAGGTTGCCGCGGCGACGGGCCGAGGAAGGAAGCGGAGGTACAGGAAGAGGAGGAGGCTGAACGCGCTGGACAGCGAGAGTAGCCGTGAAGACTCGCAGGACGAGGAGTACCGCTGTGAGCAGAGGTGAGCGCTCGCCAATGTTTGTTGGGGAGGGGTGAGCGGGTGGGTGAGTGAGTGAGTGAGCGGGTGAGCGTGTGAGCGGGTGAGCGGGTGGGTGAGTGAGTGTATGGGTGGGTGGGTAAGTGATTGATTGTGTGAGCAGGTGGGTGAGTGAGTGTGTGAGCGGGTGGGTGGGTGAGTGAGTGGGTGTGTGAGCGGGTGGGTGGGTGAGTGAGTGTGTTAGCGGGTGAGTGAGTGAGTGTGTGAGCAGGTGGGTGGGTGAGTGAGTGGGTGTGTGAGCGGTTGGGTGGGTGAGTGAGTGTGAGCGGGTGGGTGCGTGAGTGTGTGAGCGGGTGGGTGAGTGAGTGTGTGAGCGGGTGGGTGCGTGAGTGTGTGAGCGGGTGGGTGGGTGAGTGAGTGTATGGGTGGGTGGGTGAGTGAGTGTGTTAGTGGGTGGGTGCGTGAGTGTGTGAGCGGGTGGGTGAGTGAGTGTGTGAGCGGGTGGGTGAGTGAGTGTGTGAGCGGGTGCGTGAGTGAGTGTGTGAGCGGGTGGGTGGGTGAGTGTATGGGTGGGTGGGTGAGTGAGTGTGTTGGCGGGTGGGTGAGTGAGTGTGTGAGCAGGTGGGTGGGTGGGTGAGTGAGTGGGTGAGTGGGTGTGTGAGCTGGTGGGTGCGTGAATGTGTGAGCGGGTGGGTGCGTGAGTGTGTGAGCGGGTGGGTGAGTGAGTGAGTGTGTGAGCGGGTGAGTGTGTGGGTGGGTGAGTGTGTGAGCAGGTGGGTGGGTGGGTGAGTGTGTGAGCAGGTGGGTGGGTGAGTGAGTGAGTGAGTGTGAGCAGGTGGGTGCGTGAATGAGTGTGTGAGCGGTTGGGTGGGTGGGTGCGTGAGTGAGTAAGTGGGTGGGTGGGTGAGTGAGTGAGTAAGTGGTTGTGTGATCGAGTGGGTGAGTGAGTGAGTGTGTGAGCGGGTGGGTGAGTGACTGAGTGCGTGATCGGGTGGGTAGTTGAGTGAATGAGTGAGTTTCCCGATGAACATTTGTTCATCAGGAAACGTTTGCGAAAAGGCAGTAGTTCTCATCATCAGGCACAGCAAACATGTGCAGCCTCCAATCTTCCAACATCTACTGCATCCCTCTCGTCCTGGCCTCCTCCGTTTCACGTGTCATGAAATAGCCCCATTGCCTGAAACGTCGGTCAAGGCTGTTACGTTATATTTAAGACCGAAACAGGAGGAATTCTCCACAATTCTAGCTGTGGCCTGATGATGCCGTTTGTTGTTGTAACCACCGGCGAAGCTTCGTGGTACTCGAATTGATAAAGTTGTGGTCTTGATTTAAAGCTTTCGTGACTGCGGTGATTCATATTCTTGGTTCTTTCGGTAAAGTCCCGTTGAAGGTAAGCAATAAAATAATTAAATATATATAAAACAATAAAATTCTCACAATATTGTTTTATATACTTTTTTATTATTTTATTGTTTCCCTTCAACGTGACTTCACCGAAAGAACCAAGGATATAAAGTTGTGGTCGTGGGTTTTACTCTCCAACACACAACCGGTCAGTGCTGAAGTCGTAACCAGCGGGGGGGGGGGGGGGGGCACGCTTTGTTTACGTGACAAACCCTCAACATATAGGAATAGGTTTTACCCTTTTAACTGGCACATACTGACACCTTTATTCAAGGCCTCATGTTTGCAATGACCACAACACAAGCAGTCAAAATGCAAACAAAAGAGACAACTCTGATAATAATATTGGCACTGTCCTTGAATTTGATTGGTCCACACCCGAGACGGCTTTTGTTAGAGCCTAGTCTCCATTGCTGTTGGACCAGAAGACGCCTAGTCTCCAACACCAATGGAGACTAGGCTCTAAGAAAAGCCGTTTCGGGTGTGGACCAATCAAATTCAAGGACAGTGCCAATATTATTATCAGAGTTGTCTCTTGCGTTTGCATTTTGACTGCTTGTGTTGTGGTTATTGCAAACACGACGCCTTGAATAAAGGTTGTCAGTTTTTGTGCCAGTTAAGAGGGTACAAACCTATTCCTACATCTTGTTACTGGCAAAGGAGGTCTCGTAATGTAAATGCAAACCCTCGACACATGGGGTGTGTCAGGTGGTGGCAGCTTTGACGACGGGCTTACATTCACACGCTCTAACCCAACAACAAAAATAATAACCTCTCCTGTTAACACATCACTCGTGGAAGTCCTGCCACGTGTTAACACATCTCTCGTGGAAGTCCTGCCGTGTGTTAACACATCGCTCGTGGAAGTCCTGCCGTGTGTTAACACATCTCTCGTGGAAGTCCCTGTCGTGTGTTAACACATCGCTCGCGGAAGCCCTGCCGCGTGTTAACACATCTGTCGTGTTAACACACCGCTCGTGGAGTCCTGTCGCGTGTTAACACATCGCTCGTGGAGTCCTGTCGTGTGTTAACACATCGCTCGTGGAAGTCCCTGCCGTGTGTTAACACATCGCTTGTGGAAGTCCCTGCCACGTGTTAACACATCTCTTGTGGAAGTCCTGTCGTGTGTTAACACATCGCTCGTGGAGTCCTGTCGTGTGTTAACACATCGCTCGTGGAAGTCCCTGCCGTGTGTTAACACATCGCTTGTGGAAGTCCCTGCCACGTGTTAACACATCGCTCGTGGAAGCCCTGTCGTGTGTTAACACATCTCTCGTGGAAGTCCTGTCGTGTTAACACATCGCTCGTGGAAGTCCCTGTCGTGTGTTAACACATCTCTCGTGGAAGTCCCTGCTGTGTGTTAACACATCTCTCGTGGAAGCCCTGCCGTGTGTTAACACATCACTCGTGGAAGTCCTGCCGCGTTAACACATCGCTCGTGGAAGTCCTGTCGTGTTAACACATCTCTCGTGGAAGCCCTGTCGTGTTAACACATCTCTCGTGGAAGCCCTGTCGCGTGTTAACACATCGCTCGTGGAAGTCCTGTCGTGTGTTAACACATCGCTCGTGGAAGTCCTGCTGTGTGTTAACACATCGCTCGTGGAAGCCCTGTCGTGTGTTAACACATCGCTTGTGGAAGTCCTGTCGTGTGTTAACACATCGCTCGTGGAAGCCCTGTCGTGTGTTAACACATCGCTTGTGGAAGTCCCTGTCGTGTGTTAACACATCGCTCGTGGAAGCCCTGTCGTGTGTTAACACATCGCTTGTGGAAGTCCCTGTCGTGTGTTAACACATCGCTCGTGGAAGTCCTGTCGTGTGTTAACACATCTCTTGTGGAAGCCCTGTCGTGTGTTAACACATCTCTCGTGGAAGTCCTGCCACGTGTTAACACATCGCTCGTGGAAGTCCTGTCGTGTGTTAACACATCGCTCGTGGAAGTCCTGTCGTGTGTTAACACATCGCTCGTGGAAGTCCTGCCACGTGTTAACACATCGCTCGTGGAAGTCCTGTCGTGTTAACACACCGCTCGTGGAAGCCCTGTCGTGTGTTAACACATCGCTCGTGGAAGTCCTGCCGCGTGTTAACACATCTCTCGTGGAAGTCCTGTCACGCGTGTTAACACACCGCTCGTGGAAGTCCTGCCGTGTTAACACATCGCTCGTGGAAGTCCTGTCGTGTTAACACACCGCTCGTGGAAGTCCTGTCGTGTGTTAACACATCTCTCGTGGAAGTCCTGTCACGTGTTAACACATCGCTCGTGGAAGTCCTGTCGTGTGTTAACACATCGCTCGTGGAAGTCCTGTCGCGTGTTAACACATCACTCGTGGAAGTCCTGTCGTGTGTTAACACATCGCTCGTGGAAGTCCTGTCGTGTGTTAACACATCTCTCGTGGAAGTCCTGTCGTGTGTTAACACATCGCTCGTGGAAGTCCTGTCATGTGTTAACACATCGCTCGTGGAAGTCCTGTCGTGTGTTAACACACCGCTCGTGGAAGTCCTGTCGTGTGTTAACACACCGCTCGTGGAAGCCCTGTCGTGTTAACACATCGCTCGTGGAAGTCCTGTCGTGTGTTAACACATCGCTCGTGGAGTCCTGTCGTGTGTTAACACACCGCTCGTGAAGCCCTGCCGCGTGTTAAAACATCGCTCGTGGAAGTCCCTGCCGTGTGTTAACACATCTCTCGTGAAGCCCTGTCGTGTGTTAACACACCGCTCGTGGAAGCCCTGCCACGTGTTAACACATCGCTTGTGGAAGTCCTGTCGTGTGTTAACACATCACTCGTGGAAGTCCTGCCGTGTGTTAACACACCGCTCGTGGAAGTCCTGTCGTGTGTTAACACATCACTCGTGGAAGTCCTGCCGTGTGTTAACACATCGCTCGTGGAAGTCCTGTCGTGTGTTAACACACCGCTCGTGGAAGTCCTGTCGTGTGTTAACACACCGCTCGTGGAAGTCCTGCCGTGTGTTAACACATCGCTCGTGGAAGTCCTGTCGCGTGTTAACACATCGCTCGTGGAAGTCCTGTCGCGTGTTAACACATCGCTCGTGGAAGTCCTGTCGTGTGTTAACACATCGCTTGTGGAAGTCCCTGTCGTGTGTTAACACACCGCTCGTGGAAGTCCCTGTCGTGTGTTAACACATCGCTCGTAGAAGCCCTGTCGTGTTAACACATCGCTCGTGGAAGCCCTGCCACGTGTTAACACATCGCTCGTAGAAGCCCTGTCGTGTTAACACATCGCTTGTGGAAGTCCTGTCGTGTGTTAACACATCGCTCGTGGAGTCCTGTCGTGTGTTAACACATCGCTCGTGGAAGCCCTGTCGTGTGTTAACACATCGCTTGTGGAAGTCCCTGCCACGTGTTAACACATCGCTCGTGGAAGCCCTGTCGTGTGTTAACACATCTCTCGTGGAAGTCCTGTCGTGTTAACACATCGCTCGTGAAGCCCTGCCGCGTGTTAACACATCGCTCGTGGAAGCCCTGTCGTGTGTTAACACATCGCTCGTGGAAGCCCTGTCGTGTGTTAACACATCTCTCGTGGAAGCCCTGTCGTGTTAACACATCTCTCGTGGAAGTCCTGTCGTGTTAACACATCTCTTGTGGAAGTCCTGTCGCGTGTTAACACATCGCTCGTGGAAGCCCTGTCGTGTGTTAACACATCTCTCGTGGAAGCCCTGCCGTGTGTTAACACATCGCTCGTGGAAGCCCTGCCGTGTGTTAACACATCTCTCGTGGAAGTCCTGTCGTGTGTTAACACATCTCTCGTGGAAGTCCTGTCGTGTTAACACATCGCTTGTGGAAGTCCTGTCGTGTTAACACATCGCTCGTGGAAGTCCTGTCGTGTGTTAACACACCGCTCGTGGAAGCCCTGTCGTGTGTTAACACATCGCTCGTGGAAGTCCTGCCACGTGTTAACACATCTCTCGTGGAAGCCCTGTCGTGTGTTAACACATCGCTCGTGGAAGTCCTGTCGTGTGTTAACACATCGCTCGTGGAAGTCCTGCCGTGTGTTAACACATCTCTCGTGGAAGCCCTGCCGTGTTAACACATCGCTTGTGGAAGTCCCTGTCGTGTTAACACATCGCTCGTGGAAGCCCTGCCGTGTTAACACATCGCTTGTGGAAGTCCTGCCACGTGTTAACACATCGCTTGTGGAGTCCTGTCGTGTGTTAACACATCGCTCGTGGAAGTCCTGTCGTGTGTTAACACATCGCTCGTGGAAGTCCTGCCACGTGTTAACACATCGCTCGTGGAAGTCCTGCTGCGTGTTAAAACATCTCTCGTGGAAGTCCTGTCGTGTGTTAACACATCGCTCGTGGAGTCCTGCCGTGTTAACACATCGCTCGTGGAAGTCCTGCTGTGTGTTAACACATCTCTCGTGGAAGTCCTGTCGTGTGTTAACACATCGCTCGTGGAAGTCCTGTCGTGTGTTAACACATCTCTCGTGGAAGTCCTGTCGCGTGTTAACACATCGCTCGTGGAAGTCCCTGCCGCGTGTTAACACACCGCTCGTGGAAGTCCTGCCGCGTGTTAACACATCTCTTGTGGAAGTCCTGCCGTGTGTTAACACATCGCTCGTGGAAGCCCTGCCGTGTTAACACATCTCTCGTGGAAGCCCTGCCGTGTGTTAACACATCTCTCGTGGAAGTCCTGTCGTGTGTTAACACATCGCTCGTGGAAGGCCCTGCCGTGTTAACACATCTCTCGTGGAAGTCCTGTCGTGTGTTAACACATCGCTCGTGGAAGCCCTGCCGTGTTAACACATCGCTGGTGGAAGTCCTGTCGTGTGTTAACACATCTCTCGTGGAAGTCCTGTCGCGTGTTAACACATCTCTCGTGGAAGTCCTGTCGTGTGTTAACACACCGCTCGTGGAAGCCCTGTCGTGTGTTAACACATCTCTCGTGGAAGTCCTGTCGTGTGTTAACACATCTCTCGTGGAAGTCCTGTCGTGTGTTAACACACCGCTCGTGGAAGTCCTGTCGTGTGTTAACACATCTCTCGTGGAAGTCCTGTCGTGTGTTAACACATCTCTCGTGGAAGTCCTGTCGTGTGTTAACACACCGCTCGTGGAAGCCCTGTCGTGTGTTAACACATCGCTCGTGGAAGTCCTGTCGCGTGTTAACACATCGCTCGTGGAAGTCCTGTCGTGTGTTAACACATCTCTCGTGGAAGTCCTGTCGTGTGTTAACACATCGCTCGTGGAAGCCCTGTCGCGTGTTAACACATCGCTCGTGGAAGTCCTGTCGCGTGTTAACACATCTCTTGTGGAAGTCCTGTCACGTGTTAACACATCTCTCGTGGAAGTCCCTGTCGCGTGTTAACACATCGCTCGTGGAAGTCCTGTCGTGTTAACACACCGCTCGTGGAAGCCCTGTCGTGTTAACACACCGCTCGTGGAAGTCCTGTCGTGTGTTAACACATCGCTCGTGGAAGTCCCTGTCGTGTGTTAACACATCGCTCGTGGAAGTCCTGTCGTGTTAACACATCTCTTGTGGAAGTCCTGCCACGTGTGTTAACACACCGCTTGTGGAAGCCCTGTCGTGTTAACACACCGCTTGTGTAAGTCCCTGTCGTGTTAACACAGGCTGCCGAGTCGTAGACGACATCGGCGGGTGTCGCCGCGGGCGGCGGCCCAGAGTTGGAGCGCCGCTCGTTTACGGGAGGCTCGCGGTTTGGTAAACCCCCCCCTTTGGCCGCCCCGGTCGATCGCCCTGCGGCTGCGCGCGGTTAACCGTGAAGTTGCCACCGCAAGCAACTGCAACGGCAACAGCCGCCGCCGTGGGAAGGTCGCAAGTTCAAATCCTGGCCATCACCATGGGCTAGTGCGGGCAGTTAACGTGCCATCGTTTTATTGGATAACAGTACAACAACAAAAAAAAAGTCTTAAAAGTTGACACCGTTTTTTGGCGATCGCTCCGTTTTATCAGTTCCTTTTAGAGCAGCAGCAGCAGCAACAGCAGCAGCAGCGACAATCGCCGCCACTGTTGACCCATCGCCGCGGCCTTTATTGCTCACAGGCGGCTAACGAATGAACACCTCTTCCGCGCGCCAAAACGTTGCGGATTTTAGTGAGAGGGGGGAGGAGGGAATTGTTCCGTTCAGTGCTGTCCCACCCCCCGCCTCTCCCAAATGATAGCCGCCACCAACCGCCCCAGGTGGTTGGCGGTGGTTCGTTGTGCCGGGCGGTTAAAGTAAAAGCGGTGTTGGTTAAAAAAAATCAAACGGAGTCAAATATGAACGCGACCTCGCACGACGGCCACGGGCTATCGTTTGCGATGGCCAAGGTCGCTTCCGTAAAAGAGCTTGCACAACTTGGGGTGTTGGGGCCTTACACCTGGCGAAATGAAAATTATTAATCCGTAACAGAGGGTGTTTTTTTGGGGTTGGATCGCGTGAACATAAACGTGTCGTTAAACCCCCCCCGCCACCACCCGACGCAGTCCATTAGTAAGGTTTTGTCGCGCAAACGGAACGTGCCAATTTTGTTACTAGTGCGGTGGATCGATAACCAGAGGAGACTCGCTCTGAGGCAACACGTATTTTATGATTTAAAGCTTTCGTGACTGCAGTGATCCATATTCTTGGTTCTTTCGGTAAAGTCACGTTGAAGGGAAACAACAAAATAATAAAATCACGTTGAAGGGAAACAATAAAGTAATAAAACATACATTTTATTGTTTCCCTTCAACGTGACTTTACCGAAAGAACCGAGAATATGAAACAACGTATTTTATTTAACAGTTAAAACCTGAACATGAAGTGGTAACGGCCCCTTACACCCAATACGCCTCTCACTGGCTACTCTAGCCCTTCTTGAGTGAAGCCTGGTCTTCACTGGTCCATAAGCTGGAGCCGCCCCTTGCCATGGGGTACGGCTCTTTGCCCGTGGGCTCTTCTCTTCAGGAGGCTCGTGGTCTTCGGGTGGACGACGACCGCCCGCACCGTTCGGAGGTCCGGCTTTTATACAAGTCCGTGGCTTGCTCCGCCCCCAGCCACGCCTTCCTTCCAGAACCCTCCACCGGGTCCTGGAAGGGTGACGTCATCCCCCAGCCTCCCAACCCCCCCCCTCCCGGGGTCTGGGGTCTGCGTCCCAGGTTCCGTTATCCCATCGGGGTTACCGTTGGGCCCCCCTGGCCCATAGTTCGCTGACACTAGGCCCAGTGACACTACCGCCCCGTATTGACACGTGTGGGATACTACACCTCTACACTAGTACAGCCACGCCGGTTGTGTGTTGGACAGCAAAGCCACAACTTTTACAATCTGAGCGCAACGTTTCGCCGGTGATTACAACCAGCTGGTGGACGGACGTATTTGTGGAGAAATCCTGTCTTGTTTTTTTTTTTAAACAGAGGGGTAGATGTGATGACGTTACTTGGGAGCCCTTCACGTGCGATGGGGCGGGGGGATTAATAATGCATGTAAATTACAATGGGTATCCATTGCCGGTATGGTTATTCACATTTATATTAACGCGATATAACCCGAAGCAATCTATTTTATGGATGATACTGGTCGCGAAAAGCCTACGCGTTCAAAATAGTTTAGTTTAAGTTGAATTATTATTAACTGTTTATTAATCACCACTGCCTCCTCCCTCGTGTCTCCCACCCTCCCCCCCCACCTCAGCGACAGCGAGGCCGAGGAGCAGCTGTCGGAGGCGGACTACGAGGAAGAGGAGGGCCTCAGCAGCGGTGGCTCGTCCGTGGGTTCGGCCCACGGGCCTCGCGGGGCCCTGAGGCGGGCGCGGGGCGGCCGGGGTGGACGGGGCCGGTCCTCGTCGGCGAGGAAGGGCCGGAGGCTGAGAGGACGCCCCGGGCCGAAGAGGAAGAGGAGGAGGAGAGGAGGATTCTCGGATGACGACGAGGAGGAGGAGGAGGAGGAAGAGGAGGAGGAAGAGGGTGAGTCGCGCGTTGCGTTTAGTTCGTTCCCGAGCGGACGGCAACAAACAGCGCTGTCAGAAAGGTGTTGGAAGGAACGGGGAACGTGAGGTGACCCGCGGTGTGGTGAGTGGGTCGGTGAGTGGGTCGGTGCGTGAGTGGGTCGGTGCGTGAGTGGGCGAGTGGGCGAGTGAGTGGGTCAATGGGTGAGTGAGCATTTTAGTGCGTGAGTGAGTGAGCGAGTGGGTGAGCGAGTGTGTGAGTGAGCGAGTTAGTGGGTGAGTGAGTGAATGAGCGAGTGAGTGGGTGAATGGGTGAGTGAGAATTTTAGTGTGTGGTTGAGTGAGTGGGTGATTGAGCGAGCGAGTGGGTGAGTGAGCGAGTGAGTGGGTGAATGGGTGAGTGAGCGTTTGAGTGTGTGAGTGAGTGAGCGAGTGAGTGGGCGAGTGGGTGAGTGAGTGGGTGAATGGGTGCGTGGGTGAATGGGTGAGTGAGCGAGTTAGTGGGTGAGTGAATGAGCAGGTGAGTGGGTGAATGGGTGAGTGAGCATTTTAATGTGAGTGAGATAGTGAGCGAGTGGGTGAGCGGGTGAGCGGGTCAATGGGTGAGTGAGCGTTTGTGTGTGAGTGAGCGAGTTAGTGGGTGATTGAATGAGCGAGTGAGTGGGTGAATGGGTGAGTGAGCATTTTAGTGTGTGAGTGAGTGGGCGAGTGAGTGGGCGAGTGAGTGGGCGAGTGAGTGGGTGAGTGAGCGAGTGAGTGGGCGAATGGGTGAGTGAGCATTTTTGTGTGTGAGCGAGTGAGTGGGCGAGTGGGCGATTGGACGAGTGAGTGGGTGAGTGAGCGAATGAGTTGGTGAATGGGTGAGTGAGTGTTTGAGTGTGCGAGTGAGTGAGTGGGTGAGTGAGCGAGCGAGTGAGTGGGTGAGTGGATGAGTGAGCGAGTGAATGGGTGAGTGAGCATTTTAGTGCGTGAGTGAGTGAGCGAGTGAGTGGGTGAGTGAGCGTTTGAGTGTGTGAGTGAGTTAGCGAGTTAGTGGGTGAGTGAATGAGCGAGTGAGTGGGTGAATGAGTGAGTGACCATTTTAGTGCGTGAGTGAGTGGCCGAGTGAGTGGGTGAATGGGGGAGTGAGCGTTTTAGTGTTTGGGTGAGTGAGCGAGTGAGTGGCTGAGTGAGTGAGTGAGCGGGCGAGCGAGTGAGTGGGTGGGTGAATGGGTGTGAGTGTTTTAGTGAGTGAGTGAGTGAGCGAGCGAGTGAGTGGGCAGGTGGGCGAGTGAACGACTAGGCGATTGAGTGACTGTTCGAGTGAGTGGGTGAGTGAGCGTTTGAGTGCGTCAGTGAGCATGTTGGTGGATGGTGCGTGAGTGGGAGGCGGTAAGTGTTGCAGTTAGCATGCTGAACGACGAACCTTCGTGACCTGAGTTCGATTCCCGCTCGCGGCCATCACCAGTAGCCATTATCTGAACCGGTCCTTGTCTCCTAAGTGGCGACACTCAAAGTCGAACACACACCAACTCAGGTACACAATAGAGACAAGCAGTCATAATCCCAATCTCCCCGTGTCTCCTACGGACGAGCGATCCCAATCTCTCCGTGTCCCCTGTAGTTAACATCTCTTAGCCACCGTGATGATGATGATGAGAGAGAGACACGCAAACTCCCAGCAACCCCCTAACCCTCTAACCCCACCCCCATCACCCTCTAACCCCACCCCCCAACCCTCTAACCCCACCCCCATCACCCTCTAACCCCACCCCCCATCACCCTCTAACCCCACCCCCCAACCCTCTAACCCCACCCCCCAACCCTCTAACCCCACCCCCATCACCCTCTAACCCCACCCCCCTCACCCTCTAACCCCACCCCCCTCACCCTCTAACCCCACCCCCCTCACCTTCTAACCCCACCCCCCTCACCCTCTAACCCCACCCCCCTCACCCTCTAACCCCACCCCCCTCACCCTCTAACCCCACCCCCGTCACCCTCTAACCCCACCCCCATCACCCTCTAACCCCACCCCCCTCACCCTCTAACCCCACCCCCATCACCCTCTAACCCCACCCCCCTCACCCTCTAACCCCACCCCCCTCACCCTCTAACCCCACCCCCCTCACCCTCTAACCCCACCCCCATCACCCTCTAACCCCACCCCCGTCACCCTCTAACCCACCCCCTCACCCTCTAACCCCACCCCCTCACCCCCACCCCCCTCACCCTCTAAACCCCACCCCCCTCACCCCCACCCCCCCTCACCCTCTAACCCCACCCCCATCACCCTCTAACCCCACCCCCCTCACCCTCTAACCCCACCCCCCTCACCCTCTAACCCCACCCCCATCACCCTCTAACCCCACCCCCCTCACCCTCTAACCCCACCCCCATCACCCTGTAACCCCACCCCCCTCACCCTCTAACCCCACCCCCCCTCACCCTCTAACCCCACCCCCCTCACCCTCTAACCCCACCCCCCTCACCCTCTAACTCCACCCCATCACCCTCTAACCCCACCCCCCTCACCCTCTAACCCCACCCCCATCACCCTCTAACCCCACCCCCCTCACCCTCTAACCCCACCCCCCTCACCCTCTAACCCCACCCCATCACCCTCTAACCCCACCCCCCTCACCCTCTAACCCCACCCCCCTCACCCTCTAACCCCACCCCCATCACCCTCTAACCCCACCCCCCTCACCCTCTAACCCCACCCCCCTCACCCTCTAACCCCACCCCCATCACCCTCTAACGCCACCCCCATCACCCTCTAACCCCACCCCCCTCACCCTCTAACCCCACCCCCCTCACCCTCTAGCCCCACCCCCCTCACCCTCTAACCCCACCCCCATCACCCTCTAACCCCACCCCCCTCACCCTCTAACCCCACCCCCATCACCCTCTAACCCCACCCCCATCACCCTCTAACCCCACCCCCATCACCCTCTAACCCCACCCCTCTCACCCTCTAACCCCACCCCCCTCACCCTCTAACCCCACCCCCCCTCACCCTCTAACCCCACCCCCATCACCCTCTAACCCCACCCCCCTCACCCTCTAACCCCACCCCCATCACCCTCTAACCCCACCCCCATCACCCTCTAACCCCACCCCCCTCACCCTCTAACCCCACCCCCCTCACCCTCTAACCCCACCCCCCTCACCCTCTAACCCCACCCCCCTCACCCCCACCCCCACGCTTGCTGCTCCTGCTCCTGCCCCTCCTCCTCCCCCGCTGCAGGCAGCGAGCTGGGGAGTGACGTGACGGACGAGGACCTGGTGGACTTCCGGCGCCGCCGGTCGCGGCGAGCGACCGCGGCCCGCTCGGTCAACTACCGCGAGGACTCCGAGAGCGCCGGGGAGGAGGGCGCGGGGGGCCGGCGAGCGGGGGGGGCGCCCCGCGGACGCACCGCCACCATGCTGGCCGCCTTCCGGAAGCGGAAACGGGGGCACAGCTCCGACAGCGGAGGTAACGGGAGCCGGGGGCTCCGGCTGACGTTGGGGGTCCGGTACGGGTTCGGCGAGGGTCCCAGCGCGGGTGATGTGTTAGTTCGGGAGGGGCAGCGGCAGGGGTATGGTACGGACGCTGGTCCGGGTTTGGTACCGTTACCATACCCGGTACGGGTATGGTATGGGTACAGTACGGGTACGGGTGAGGTCGGGGGGCGGGGGGGTACACGGTGCGGGTATTGTACGAGTCCGGTACCAGTTCGGATCGGGCACAATACGGGCACGGTGCGGGTTTAGTAGGGGGCACGGTGCGGGTTTAGTAGGGGGCACGGTGCGGGTTTAGTAGGGGGCACGGTGCGGGTTTAGTAGGGGGCACGGTGCGGGTTTAGTAGGGGGCACGGTGCGGGTTTAGTAGGGGGCACGGTGCGGGTTTAGTAGGGGGCACGGTGCGGGTTTAGTAGGGGGCACGGTGCGGGTTTAGTATTGGGCACGGTGCGGGTTTAGTAGGGGGCACGGTGCGGGTTTAGTAGGGGGCACGGTGCGGGTTTTAGTAGGGGGCACGGTGCGGGTTTAGTAGGGGGCACGGTGCGGGTTTAGTAGGGGGCACGGTGCGGGTTTAGTAGGGGGCACGGTGCGGGTTTAGTAGGGGGCACGGTGCGGGTTTAGTAGGGGGCACGGTGCGGGTTTAGTATTGGGCACGCTGCGGGTTTAGTAGGGGGCACGGTGCGGGTTTAGTAGGGGGCACGGTGCGGGTTTAGTAGGGGGCACGGTGCGGGTTTAGTAGGGGGCACGGTGCGGGTTTAGTAGGGGGCACGGTGCGGGTTTAGTAGGGGGCACGGTGCGGGTTTAGTAGGGGGCACGGTGCGGGTTTAGTAGGAGGCACGGTGCGAGTTTAGTAGGGGGCACGGTGCGGGTTTAGTAGGGGGCACGGTGCGGGTTTAGTAGGGGGCTCGGTGCGGGTTCAGTAGGGGGCTCGGTGCGGGTTTAGTAGGGGGCACGGTGCGGGTTTGTTGGGGATTCTGGAGGGGTTCGGTACGGGCTTGGTAGGAGTTCGGCTTTGCAACAGGTTCAGTTTGGTAGATGCTCAGTACAGGCACGGTATAGGTTCAGTACGGGTTTATTATGGGTTCGGTACAGACGCCCGTTTTGACTCTTGTGTCTGTGTCTGTCTGTCTCACTCTGTCTCTGTCTCACTCTGTCTCTGGGTCTCTGTCTCACTGTCTTTGTGTCTCTGTCTCATTGTCTCTGTGTGTCTGTCTCACTCTGTCTCTGTGTGTCTGTCTCACTCTGTCTCTGTCTCACTCTGCCTCTGGGTCTCTGTCTCACTCTGTCTCTGGGTCTCTGTCTCACTGTCTCTGGGTCTCTGTCTCACTCTGTCTCTGGGTCTCTGTCTCACTCTGTCTCTGGGTCTCTGTCTCACTGTCTCTGGGTCTCTTTCTTACTTTCCCTTTGCATCTCCGGCTCACTGTCCCCCGTGTGTCTCTGTCTCTCGGTATCTCTCTGTCCCCCTCTCTCTCTGTGTCTCTGTGCCTCTGGCTATCGACAACAATACCCAATCGCGACGACGCTAACGACAACGCACGCGGCCACTGTCCACACCGTCACTGTCCACACCGTCACTGTCCACACCGCCTACTGTCCACACCGCCTACTGTCCACACCGTCACTGTCCACACCGTCACTGTCCACACTGCCTACTGTCCATACCGCCTACTGTCCACACCGTCACTGTCCACACCGTCACTGTCCACACTGCCTACTGTCCATACCGCCTACTGTCCACACCGTCACTGTCCACACCGTCACTGTCCACACCGCCTACTGTCCACACCGCCTACTGTCCACACCGTCACTGTCCACACCGCCTACTGTCCACACCGTCACTGTCCACACCGTCACTGTCCACACCGCCTACTGTCCACACCGCCTACTGTCCACACCGTCACTGTCCACACCGCCTACTGTCCACACCGCCTACTGTCCACACCGTCACTGTCCACACCGTCACTGTCCACACCGTCACTGTCCACACCGCCACTGTCCACACCGTCACTGTCCACACCGTCACTGTCCACACCGTCACTGTCCACACCGCCCACTGGCCACGCGGCCTACTGTCCACACCGTCACTGTCCACACCGCCCACTGTTCACACCGCCCACTGTCCACACCGCCCACTGTCCACGCGGCCTACTGTCCACACCGTCACTGTCCACACCGCCCACATGTCCACGCCGCCTACTGTCCACACCGTCACTGTCCACACCGCCCACTGTCCACACCGCCCACTGTCCACACCGCCCACTGTCCACACCGCCTACTGTCCACACCGTCACTGTCCACACCGCCTACTGTCCACACCGCCTACTGTCCACACCGTCACTGTCCACACCGTCACTGTCCACACCGTCACTGTCCACACCGCCACTGTCCACACCGTCACTGTCCACACCGTCACTGTCCACACCGTCACTGTCCACACCGCCCACTGTCCACACTGCCCACTGTCCACACCGCCCACTGTCCACGCGGCCTACTGTCCACACCGTCACTGTCCACACCGCCCACTGTCCACGCGGCCTACTGTCCACACCGTCACTGTCCACACCGCCCACTGTCCACGCCGCCTACTGTCCACACCGTCACTGTCCACACCGCCTACTGTCCACACCGTCACTGTCCACACCGCCTACTGTCCACCACCGCCTACTGTCCACACCGCCTACTGTCCACACCGCCTACTGTCCACACCGCCACTGTCCACACCGTCACTGTCCACACCGCCCAACTGTCCACACCGCCCACTGTCCACACCGCCCACTGTCCACGCGGCCTACTGTCCACACCGTCACTGTCCACACCGCCCACTGTCCACGCCGCCTACTGTCCACAACCGTCACTGTCCACACCGCCTACTGTCCACACCGTCACTGTCCACACCGCCCACTGTCCACACCGCCCACTGTCCACACCGCCCACTGTCCACGCGGCCTACTGTCCACACCGTCACTGTCCACACCGCCCACTGTCCACGCGGCCTACTGTCCACACCGTCACTGTCCACACCGCCCACTGTCCACACCGCCCACTGTCCACGCGGCCTACTGTCCACAACCGTCACTGTCCACACCGCCCACTGTCCACGGCCGCCTACTGTCCACACCGTCACTGTCCACACCGCCTACTGTCCACACCGCCTACTGTCCACACCGCCTACTGTCCACACCGCCTACTGTCCACAACCGCCTACTGTCCACACCGCCACTGTCCACACCGCCCACTGTCCACACCGCCTACTGTCCACAACCGCCACTGTCCACACCGCCACTGTCCACACACCGCCTACTGTCCACACCGCCACTGTCCACACTGCCTACTGTCCACACCGCCACTGTCCACCTGCCTACTGTCCACACCGCCACTGTCCACACTGCCTACTGTCCACACCGCCACTGTCCACACCGCCTACTGTCCACACCGCCTACTGTCCACAGACCGCCACTGTCCACACTGCCTACTGTCCACACCGCCACTGTCCACACCGCCTACTGTCCACACCGCCTACTGTCCACACCGCCTACTGTCCACACCGTCACTGTCCACCACCGCCCACTGTCCACACCGCCCACTGTCCACGCCGCCTACTGTCCACACCGTCACTGTCCACACCGCCTACTGTCCACACCGCCCACTGTCCACACCGCCCACTGTCCACACCGCCCACTGTCCACACCGCCCACTGTCCACGCGGCCTACTGTCCACACCGTCACTGTCCACACCGCCCACTGTCCACGCCGCCTACTGTCCACACCGTCACTGTCCACACCGCTTACTGTCCACACCGTCACTGTCCACAACCGCCTACTGTCCCACACCGCCTACTGTCCAACACCGCCTACTGTCCACACCGCCTACTGTCCACACCGCCTACTGTCCACACCGCCACTGTCCACAACCGCCCACTGTCCACACCCGCCTACTGTCCACACCGCCACTGTCCACACCGCCCACTGTCCACACCGCCTACTGTCCACACCGCCTACTGTCCCACACCGTCACTGTCCACACCAGCCACTGTCCACACCGCCCACTGTCCACGCGGCCTACTGTCCACACCCCGTCACTGTCCACACCGCCCACTGTCCACGCCGCCTACTGTCCACACCGTCACTGGCCCACACCGCTTACTGTCCACACCGTCACTGTCCACAGGCCGCCTACTGTCCACACCGCCTCACTGTCCACACCGCCTTACTGTCCACACCGCCTACTGTCCACACCGCCTACTGTCCACACCGCCACTGTCCACCGTCCACTGTTCCACACCGCCTACTGTCCACACCGCCACTGTCCACACAGGCCTACTGTCCACACCGCCTACTGTCCACACCGCCACTGTCCCACACTGCCTACTGTCCCACACCGCCACTGTCCACACTGCCTACTGTCCACACCGCCACTGTCCACACCGCCTACTGTCCACACCGCCACTGTCCACACGCCTACTGTCCACACCGCCACTGTCCACACCGCCTACTGTCCACACCGCCTACTGTCCACACCGCCTACTGTCCACACCGTCACTGTCCACAACCGCCCACTGTCCACACCGCCCACTGTCCACGCCGCCTACTGTCCACACCGTCACTGTCCACACCGCCTACTGTCCACACCGTCACTGTCCACACCGCCCACTGTCCACAACCGCCCACTGTCCACACCGCCCACTGTCCACGCGGCCTACTGTCCACACCGTCAACTGTCCACACCGCCCACTGTCCACGCCGCCTACTGTCCACACCGTCACTGTCCACACCGCTTACTGTCCACACCGTCACTGTCCACACCGCCTACTGTCCACACCGCCTACTGTCCACACCGCCTACTGTCCACACCGCCTACTGTCCACACCGCCTACTGTCCACACCGCCACTGTCCACCACCGCCCACTGTCCACACCGCCTACTGTCCACACCGCCACTGTCCACACCGCCCACTGTCCACACCGCCTACTGTCC